GGTCGGGACCTCTGTTTCTCTTGGCCTCGTCGATGGAACCGCCTGGAAGGTGTCGCTGGGCCTCTTGTTGCAGCTCCCTCCCGGTCTACCCGGGTTGGTCGAGCTGCGACTTTCGCCGCTCCTGCCTGGTCTTTCCGGGCTGGTTGAGCTGGCCTGGCTGTTTCTTCCTGGTGAGGCTTCGGGCTGGCTGTTGACTGGTGAGTATTGCTGGTTATTTTCTATTCTTTCTTGATCCCCTGTATATTCCCTCCCCTCTTGGTTTGTGTTAATGGGGTCGTCTGTGTTTGGTTGCGTGTCGGTTGTGTTTCTTGTTCTTGATCTTGATTGATCGATATGGCATTTCCATGTTTGTCCGTCGGTCGTCTGCAGCCGGTAGGAGTGGGATCCTGTCAGTTGGGTTATAGTTGCTGGTACCCATAGTGGGTCTCCAGTAAGGTTCTTTGCATAGACTGCGTCGCCTGGTGCAAAAACCCGGTGCTTGCTTGATGAGTCCGGGGGTTTTTCCAGGTTGTATGTGGGGTGTAGTCTGTCGAGTGGTGACCTTAGTTTCCTTCCCATCAGTAATTCTGCCGGGCTTTTGTTTGTCGTTGTGTTTGGGGTTATATGTTGTATTAGGAGCATTTTATTTATTTTTGCTTGTATGTCACCGTGTTCGATTTTTTTGGAGGTTTTTTTTTTTTTGTAAATTGAACCATCCGTTCTGCCCTACCATTGGCCGCCGGATGTGCTGTCGCTGTCAGTGCGTGTCGTATGCCCCGTTCCGCTAAGAATTTTTCGAATTCTAGCGAGGTGAATTGGGGCCCGTTGTCTGACACTAGGACATCTGGGAGGCCGTGGGTTGCGAAGAGTTTGCTGAGTACCTTGATGACAGCTTCTGTTGTGGTGGTTTTCATGTTGCTTACCTCCAGCCAATTGGAGTAAGCATCCACCATGATGAGGAATGTGTTTCCTTTTGTGGGCCCGGCAAAATCTATATGGATCCTGGACCATGGCCCCCTGGGGGTTTCCCATTCCAGGATTGGTGCGGTGGGAGGATTTGGTCTGGTTTCTTGGCAGCGTGAGCACTTGGCCACCCAAGCCTCGATCTCCTTGTCCATGCCTGGCCACCAAGCATAGCTTCTGGCCAAGGCTTTTGTCCGCACGATGCCCGGGTGCCCTTCGTGCAATAATTTTAATACTTTCCCTTGCAATTTCTCTGGTATGATCACCCTGTCCCCCCATAACAAGCTACCTTTCTGTAATGACAGTTCTGTTTGCCTGTTTCGGAATGTCCTGAATGATTCATCGTTCTCTTTTTCCGGCCACCCTTTTTCTACCCAATGTAATACCCGCGCCAGACGTTTGTCTTTATTAGTCTCTCGGGCAATGTCTGACGCGGTTATGGGTAGGTCGGGCAATGCCTCTATGCTGAGGGTGGTCGTCGTGGGGGCTGGGTCAGCGTCTAGGTCGGGTAGTGGCGAGTGGCTCAGCACGTCTGCGTGGGCGATCGTCTTACCGGGTCGGTGCGTGAGCCGGTAGTCGTAGGCGGCGAGGAACTCGGACCACCTTGTCATCCTGGGGGATAGGATGTTTGGGGTGGCCTTGTTCCCAGCCAGGATTCCCAGCAGCAGCTTGTGGTCTGTGATGATGGTGAATCGGCGGCCGTAGAGGTACTCGTGGAACTTCTTTACTGCTGCAACGATGGCCAGGGCCTCCTTGTCTAACTGGCTGTAGTTCCTTTCTGGTTTGCTGAGTGTTCTTGAAAAGAAAGCGATGGGTGCTTCTTTTCCGTCCGGAAGTGTATGGCTGAGGACGGCGCCGACGCCAAAGGGTGAGGCGTCGCATGTGACGGCGAGGGGTAGGGTCTCATTATATTGTATGAGGACGGCATCCGAGGTGAGCAGGTCCTTGGTGTTTCTGAATGCGGTGTCCTCACGTTTCCTCCAGGTCCATTTGGCCGTCTTATCCAGGAGCCTATGCAATGGCTCCGCCGCGGTCGCCTTTTGGGGCAAGAACACATTGTAAAAATTTAGCAGTCCCAGAAATGCCTGTAGCTCTGTTTTGTTCTTGGGTGTAGGGGCTTCCTTGATGGCTTTGATTTTGTCTCCGGTTGGGTGGATGCCGTGTCGGTCTAGGAGGTACCCTAGGAACTCGACTTGCTCTGTGCAAAGCTGGCATTTCTCTTTCTTCACTTTTAGCCCGGCCCCCTTGAATTTTTCTAGTACCTCCCTTAGGCGACCCTCTAGTTCTTCCCGGTTGGCTGCCGACACTAGTACGTCGTCGAAATAGGGGACCACCCCTTTTATTCCTCGCAGCAGTCTTTCCATTAGGCTCTGGAAAATTCCCAGGACCACGCTGACTCCAAACTGGAGTCGGTTACAACGAAACGCTCCCCGGTGGGTGACTATTGTTTGCGCCTCGGCGGTTTCTTCATCGACCGGCAGCTGCTGATAGGCTTGCGCCAGGTCGAGCTTCGCAAAGACCTTGCCCCCCCAGCGAGTGTAGTAGGTGTTGCACTACTGGGACGGGGTAGGCGCTTTGTTGCAGGGCGCAATTGAGGGTGGCCTTATAGTCCCCGCAGATCCTTACTGACCCATCTGGCTTAACTGGGGTGACTATTGGGGTCTCCCATTGGGCGTGGTCGATTGGTTGCAAGACCCCCTGTTTGACGAGCTTGTCAATCTGCTCGTCGATTTTTTTTCGGAGTGCAAAAGGCACCCGTCTTGGTTTTAGGCGTATGGGGGCGATATTGGGGTCTAGGCTGAAAGAGATAGGGGGCCCTCGGTACTTGCCTAGGGTGCCGTCGAATACTTCTTGGAAGTCCTTTGCCAGTTGCTGCTCCCAGTCAGCTTCTGTGATGTGGTTTATGCCCGTAACCTCGATGCCGAGCGGTGCGAACCATTGGAGTCCTAAGAGGCTGGGTCGTTTTCGGTCCACGATCATCAGGGGAAGCTTCGCGGTGCGGTCCTTGAAAGTCACCTCAAACTGTCGGGTCCCGATGACGGGGATGCGGTTCCCCTGGTAGTCCTTGATCACCAACTTCTGGTTCTCCAGTCCTCCTTTCTGGATGGTTGGCACCAGCCGCTTGATTTCTTTCCAGGCGACCATGGAGAGGTAGGACCCAGAGTCCACCTCCATCCGGCATGGCTCGCCCTCGATGTCCACTTCTACGTAGACTTTTCGGGCATCGGTGGTTTTGGCGTGACCGATGGTGACCGTCTGGTGGGTTTCCTCCCTCTGGTGGCCTTCCCCGTTTCGTCGCCCCCGGGTATCTCGGCTCCAGCGATTTTCAGCTTGGCGGTCTCTGGGTCTGGGGGGGGGGGGGGCGTCCCGCCCCCCGGTTGCTCTGGTCTCGGCGGCGGGGGCTGTGTGTTTTTCTGAGTCGGCAGACTCGGGCGATGTGGCCCCTCTTGTTGCAATGCCGGCAGATCGCGTCGATGAAACGGCATTCTGATCGAGGGTGGCTGCCCCCGCACCCAGCGCACTGGGGTCCCGACTTACGACCTCGTTGATCTCGTCGGTCCCGTCCTGCCTGGAGCCGATGGACGTCTTCCTCCTCTTCCGTGGTATCTGAGGTGGAGTCCAGGTACCCATGGTGTGTGGTGGTCTCTCGTCGGTTCGCTTCGGGGGTTTCGGTGCGGTCCCCGTTTTCTGCCCTCCGAAGCCTGGCTGCTGACTTTCGGGTGGCTTCGGCCGCGGAGGCTTCTGCCAGGGCGTCGGCGAGATCGATGTCGCCCTTTGCCATCAGTCGGCTCTTTAGTGCCTGGTCCCTGAGGCCTAGGACCATGCGGTCTCGGAGGGCATCGTCTAAATCCCGGAACTCACACATCCCCCCTAGGTCCCGCAGGTCAGCTATGAAATCGCTGACGCTCTCGTCCTGCCGCTGGTTCCGCCGGTAGAATTCGTCCCACCGGATGAGAATGGGCACGGCGGGGGCGTAGTGGTTCCGAAGTAGCGGCTCAAGATCGCCCCAGTCCATCGTCTTCACATCCGCGGGCTTCGCGAGGGCTTTGGCCATCTTGAACACTGCGGGCCCGCAGTGTGTTAGGAAGACGGCTCTTTTCTTCTGCCCGTTCGCATCCTTCAAGTTGCTACTCTCGAGGAACATTAGGAATCGGTCCGTGTACGATTCCCAGTCCTCGGTAGCCGGGTTGAACGGCGCGGGCGGGGTCATGCTGGCCATCTAGTCGGTCTTTGTCTTCCTCGGGACACGTGCTCGGTGGTTATTCCCTGGATCCCATCCTCGTCGCCAGTGTCGTGTCCGCCGCAGGAAGGAAGCTCGGAGTCAGTGACTGGTTTCAGCTCTTTATTGGGCTCCGGTTACAGCTTAAGCTTGGAGGGAAAAACTGCGGCTTTTTATTCCCGAGCCGCCGCGGCCGCGGCCAATGGCACCACTTTGAATCTCCCGTGATTAGTTTCCACCAATCGCGGGGGATTCGCAACGGGCCAATCAGTGCGGCTCGCTCGACCAATCCGGTCGCCGTGCGCTTTAGCCAATCGCGACGCGGGGCTACGAGTATGTAAATTGACTGTACAGAACACTTGGGATCCCAGAAGCAGATCCCGGAGTGGGGCAGCGTCTCCAGGGATCGCCCCTCAGGTGACAGAAGCCCGGAGAAGGTGGATCCCCCAGGGAGGGGAAATGGGATCGTCCGAAGCCTCCGAGGGGGATCCGACCTGGGAGGGATCAGGGGGGATTTCCAGAAGAGGCTGGACGGCCGTTTGTCCCGCGTGGGATAAGGGTTTCTAATGCCTCCCTCTCCCCGTCGACCCCCCGCACCGAAGGCCTCCTCCCCCCCAGCCCCTCCTGCATGGAGCCGGCAGGAAAGACCCCCGAGATGAATGCAGCCCCCCAAGACTGCGAGGATCCCCCTCCCACTTTCTCCGCTTCTCTCTCTGCGCAGAACTATCTCCTGCATCGGCTGAAGTCAAGGGAGACTCTGCCCGGAGACCGATGATGCTGCAAGAAGGGAGGATTTTCATTGGTCCTCGCGCTCTTTCTGGACCTCCCAGTTCCGAAGTGAGGGGAAAACTCCCCCTTCCCCAGTTCAGACCCTCCGATTCCTCCTGGGGGGCCGGGAGCCTCCGCGTCCTTCTCGCCTCTCTTTGCGGGCGCTTGTGGGGCGGCATCCATGGCTTTGGCTGGGCTCCCCCTGGTGCTGTTGGTGGGGGCGCTGGGCCGGATCCCCGGAAGCGAAGGGGGGAAGGAGACCCCCGGTAAGGAGGGGGCTGGGCGGGGGAGGAGGGGCTGGGAAGGACCCCCGGAGGGGGAAGGAAGCTGGTGGGTCTCCAGAGCCTCCAAGAGCCTCGATCTCTGCGTGGTCTCCTTCCTCTTCCCTACCCGTATTCCCCCCCAGGAGGAGGGAGAGGGACCCCTCCCTCGTTCCCCGATTGTAGCCGAGGTGGGGGTCGCAGCCGGGCCCCTCTCCCCCCCACCCCCCATTGTCTGGGTCGGAGTGGGCTGCCTGGAAAGAGGGAGGGAAGGAAAAGCGAAAGCGAAAGAGGGAAACTGAGGCATTTTCAGCCCTGAAGCCCCAGAAGGAAAAAGAGCCAAAGAATTTTGGCTTCTGCAGAAACTTCTCTTTTTCTTCTGAATCTCTGATTTGAGGCTTTGGAGGTCAGGCAAGAGGGGAGCTTCGGTCCCTTCTGGGGGAGGCTCTGAATTTGGGGAGGGGACCAAGAACCCCCCACCCCCATAATCCCCCACTGGCTCTATCGGGACCTGGAGGGGGAGGGGGGAACGGAGGGAGGGGGGGCTCTGAGTACTCCTCCAAAAGTGGCTCCCCCTTTAGTGAGGGGGGGCTGGAGACCCTCCCTTTGAGAGGCTCTTGGTGGGGGCTGCAGGGGGTCTTTTTGGGGAGGGGGAAAGGAAACAGGTGGGGATCCCCGACAGTCACCCAAAGGGAGGGGAATGGGCTGAAGATTTGGGGAAGAAGAAAAGTTGGGGGGAAATCCAGGGAAGGGGGGGTTGCAGGGCTGGGAGACCTCAGAAGTGGGAGTCTAGATGTCCTCCTGGTGCCCCCTCCCCTCATTCCCCACCCCCCAAAGGAAGAGAGAGCAGGAGGTGTGGATATTACCTTCCCTCCAGCCCTCCCCCCACCGTTCCTCCCCCTGGAGATCCAACGTTCCCTGCAGAGAGATCTGCTCGACCAGTGGAGCTTCTGCCTGCCCTCACCCCCCCCAAAAGGAATGGAGAGGGGGTCCCTTAAGGAGGCTCCTCCCCTCCCCCTTTCTTCCCTCCCCCCCAGTCTGCCTCCCCCTCAGTGAGAGAGTCCCTCCTCCAGGGGCGTCTCCCATCAGTCTCTCAAAGGAAGGTCCCCCCCACCATCCCTTCTTCCTGGTGGGACCCTCCTCCTCCTCCTCTACTGGCGGCTGGGAGCGATGGGCCCTGGAGTCCCTCCTGACGGCCTTCCTCCTCCTCCTCCTCCTCCTCCTCCTCCCCCTGGCAGCCCATTTCCTGTACCAGGGGAAGGGCGAATGCAGCTTCCTCAACTGGACGCAGCGGGTGCGATACCTGCTGCGCTTCTTCTACAACCGCCAGGAGTTCGTCAGGTTTGACAGCGACCTCGGGAAGTTCGTGGCCGTCATGGCGTTTGGGGAGGCGGATGCGGACTGTTGGAACAAAGGTGAGCATCTCCTCCAGTACCTGAAGGCCGAAGTGGATCGTTTCTGCCGACGACGCAACTACGAGGCGTTGAACTTCGGGGCGGCCAAGAGGGAGGAGCGCATGGTTGGCCGGAGAAGTGAGTCCTGGGAGGGGAGGGTCTCTTCTTCCCTGGGAGGGGGAGGCCGGGACCCCGCTTTCCTTTCCTGGCATCCACTGGGGATTCTCCTCCCGGGTGACGGTTCCGCCTCCTCCTTCTTCCTTCTGCCCTCTCAGAGCTCCTGAATCTCCCTCTTCTCCCCCATCCGAACTCTCCTCCTGTCCGGGATCTGGGATCCCTTTGATCCCCCCAGGAAATCCACCCAAATCTATGATTTTCTTTTTTTGGGGGGAGGGGAATCCAGCCAGGTCTCCCTCCCTCCTGCTCAATACAGGGAGTCCTGTATTGTGTCCCAGTTCACTTACTGATGGTTCAGAGTCACAAGGGCAGTGAAAACAATCACTTCTGATCCTGTTTCACACTTACGACCACTGCAGCCTCCCAGGGTCCCCTGAGCCAAATCCAGGTGCTTGGCCACTGACTCATACTTGTGACAGTCGCAGCATCCCGGGGTCCCCTTGATCCCCTTTTGCGACCTTCCATAGGGAAGCCGGGTTCACTCAACAACCATGTTATTTATTTAACAAACGCAGTGATTCACTTAACGACTGGGGCAAGAAAGGTCACAAAATGAGGTAAACCTCATGGAACGAACGCCTCACTTAGCAACAGAGATTCTGGGCTCAGTCGTGGCCTTAAGTCGAGGACTGCCTGAATATTCATCTTTCTCTTTCTTTCGCTGATTCCTTTTTATCCTCTTCAGGAACCGCCTGTTTCCCTCCCTCTTTCCATCCAGAAGCCCCTCTCACTCTATTATTTCTTGCAAAAAGTTTTTTATTTTCTAATCATTTAAATACATCTTTGGGAGGACAGTGTGGTTCTGGTCCATAATCACAAATACAACTTTCTATCATCACATCATTATCTATTGTCATATTTTCTTCTTCAAATTCTCACAAATTACTTCAGATCAGCCTTTTTATTTTTGTTCATTTTCTATCTTCCTTAATCATATATTCAACATGTTTACAGTTCAATCTATTCATATCATTATATTTATCATTCAAAGTTTCACCTTAATTTATAGCTATCCCAAAATACATTTTCCATCTTATTTTCTTTTAACCAATATTGTCAGATTTACAGCAATATATCCTCATTACCTTATACAAATGTAACAGATATAACAGAACCTTTAATTCATTAATTCATTAAAAAAATTATCCTCCTTAATCCTATTTTCAACATGTTTACACTTCTCATTTTAGACAAAGACATTTTCTATCTTATTTTCTTTTAACCAATATTTTCAGATTTACAGCAATATATCCTCATTACCTTATACAAATATAACAGATATTGTTGTGGCTCGGAGGTTTGAGCCTGCTTTGTCAGAGGTCGAGGACTTGGTAAATGAGGAAGAGGAGGATTTGGCTCTGAGGTTTGAGCCTGCTTTTCTAGAGGACACAGACTCAGACGGTGTGGAAGGGGAAGATTTGGCTTTGAGGTTTGAGCCTGCTTTGTTAGAGGATTTGGAATTGCCTTCCTCCCCAGGACTGTCCTCCTCGGCAGGATCTTCCCCCCTGATTATACCTCAGGTTTCGGCAGATAATCAGGAGAATGTATCAGAGCCTCTGACTGAGTATCAAGCCGAGGAATGCTGGTTTGATGCAAGGCAAAGACGCAGGCAAAAGCGTGAAATGCAACGTAGAAAGAAAGGACAAATCAGAGACTGAGATGAGAGACTGACACGCCCCACAGGGAATAAAAGTGGGCGTGTTAGCTCTGGTTTCTTGTTCGGGACAACGTGTTGTTTTATGAGAGAAGCTTCTGCATTTTTCCTGTGTGTGGGGTCAGCTTGTGATTTATGCTTCCTTATCGGACTTGGCAGACAGCTGGCGTGAGACTGCCAAGAATGTTTTCGGATTAAGGAAGTTAACCCTGTAGTTACCGGACTTGCCTGCTTATTTGTGTTTCAGTTGGAAATTTGGACTTATTACTTTGTTTGTCCAGGTGAGACATAACAAGATATAACAGAATATTTAATTCATTAATTCATTAAAAATTCATCTATCTTCTTTAATCCTAATTTCAACATGTTTACATTTCTTATTTTTAGATAAATACATTTTCCATCTTAGTTTCTTTTAGCCAATATTGTCAAAGTTTTGCAATATATCTTCATTACCCTATACAAGTAGATAATAACATATTTCATGAAAGATACGAATTACTCTTGTGCTCAGCATGTTTACAGTTTCATACCATTCATTAAGCATTCAAAGTTTCATCTTAATTTATATTATCTCCTATTACGTCCCCCCCCATTATTACAGTTGCCACTGTTGCATATATTTTATTTTCTATATATTCCCTTCCCTCTAACATCTCATTTTTACTCAAATAAGTTTTCTTTTAGCCAATAATACCAAACTTGTAACATTATGACCTCATTACCATACATACATACATACATACATACATACATACATACCAAAATATATTTTCTGTCTTCTGCACAGTAGTGGATTTTTAAGCTGTGCAGATTCAGATAGATAAACTCAACAAGACGTCCATAACAAAGTACGTTTATTGGTTCATCAGGTATCCTCATAAATCACATTTATGATGAAGTTCTTCTTTAATGACCAATCCTTTGCATATCTGCCTTGTAATAAAAGATGGTTATCTCCTAACCCATCTCCTAGCAATAGAAAGCAACTGCCATGAGTTAGGGAGTTCAGGCAAAAGTGAGGAAAACTCCCCCAACCCATCGAGGGTCAATTTAGTGACCAATCAGGATTACAGGTGTGGTCATGTGATATGGACTATATATCCCAGCTACCTTAACTACATTTACCATGATGCATTCCCTTAAGGGGACAGCTCACAATTGCTACCTAACTATCCAATTCCCATACACTGGCTGGACAGCACAAATATAATTCATTACACATATTATACTACTACATGGTTATATCTATTCTCTGTCATTTTTCCAGTTCTTAGCAAATACAATTCTAGCCACTGTTAAAACATTTACAATCAAATATTTCAATTCTTTTCAATATAGTTCCGGTATAATTCCCAATAAAAATATCTCAGGTTTAAAGTCTATGTGTTGTTTTGTCATTTTTTCCAGCCATGTGTGGATTAGTCCAATATCTTGTTGCATCCGAGCATGTCCACCACATGTAGTAATATGAACCAGGTATCTGATGACATTTCCAACGTTTATCCGATTCTTGAACATCCTCACAATTCTCATCCGGGTAAGTGCCACCGGTAAAACATCTTATATAAATTTTCTTTATATGCGGATGACATTGTCATGTTATAATTTTGAGACCACAATTTTTGCCATTTATCTAAGTCAATCCCATATCCGAATTTTTCCCCCACGCAATCATGGTTTCTTTTACTTCTTCTTCCTCTAATTTAAACTCTAGCAAATGTCCATAAAGTTTTTTGATTACTTTTTCATCAGTACCTGTCAAAATTTTATCTAAATCAGTCAACTTATCATAGATACCTTCTGTTTTAACATCTTTATCAAATCTAGATTGTATTTGCAAATATGAAAACCAATTCAGTTTTACACCTTGTTCTTCCAACGCTTGCATAGATTTAAGTTCACCCTTTTCATTCAATATCTCACCATATGTAACTGTTTGTTCCTTTTTATATATTATTGGATAGGAAAAAGCTTCAATAGTACATAACCATCGTGGAATTTTTAAATAATATTGCTTTTTTATCTTCTCCCAGTTTAGAAACAATGCTTCTCAAATATAATCTCTTCTAAAATACCCCTGTGTTTTAATTCCCTTATACCAGAGGAAGGCATGCCACCCTAACAGCAAGTCATGTCCTTCTAAATTTGCAGTAATAAATCAGCTTCGGTACATACCAGGCCTCAAGGCCTCACGTAGGCTGAAGGCGTGTACCAGGAACATCAATCAACAACATGTCATCATGGGCAAATAACTGGAATGCAAACGCTAATTGGCTACTTTGTACCCTCTAAACTGACCTTATGCACTGTAATTGGATGTAACTATGTGTCCACTAATATTCCTACTCATGTAACATAATGATTGGATAGAATTCACCGCTCATGACGTATCACTATGTGTTTTTAATAAAAGAGCTTCCTGAACTTGTGATCGGGGCAGCTCACCCAAGATAGAACCTGCGTTGGTGTCTTTCTTGATGCATTCGACCACTCAGTGAGAAGCCTTCCTAATGCGGAGCAAAGCTGCATAAATTCAAAAGTCTAGTATTGCTTAGTGTTATCCACTCCTTTACCCACATCGGACTCGTCGCTTGGTAGTATAATTCCCAATTGGGCAAAGCAAATCCTCCTCTTACTCTTGCATCTTGTAGCAATTTAATTTTTTTTCTGTACTGTATTTTAGCACTATTTTGTTTAAATCTTCAAAAAATTCTTTCCCTAATCTGATTGGAATTGTCTGGAATAAGGATAAGATTCTAGGCAATACATTCATCTCAATTGTAGTTATTCTCCCAATCAGTGATAATTGTAAATGTTCCCATTTTATTAAGTCTGTCGCAATCTGTTGTTTAAGTTTGAGATAATTTATTTTATTTATTTATTTATTTTATTTATTTGATTTGCCAATTGTTTACAAGATAATAAGTATAAGTGTATACATAGTTGTGAATACATGAAATGGGTACATATAAGAAAAATAAAAGAAGAATAAGAGAAACAATAGGACAGGGACGGTAGGCACGTTGGTGCGCTTATGCACGCCCCCTACAGACCTCTTAGGAAAGGGGTGAGGTCAATAGTAGACAGTCTAAGGTTAAAGTTTTTGGGGTTTGGGGAAGAAACTACAGAGTCGGGTAGAGTATTCCAGACATTGACCACTCTATTGCTGAAGTCATATTTCCTGCAATCAAGTTTGGTGCGGTTAACATTGAGTTTGTATCTATTGTGTGCTCTTGTGTTGTTATGGTTGAAGCTGAAGTATTCATTGACAGGTAGGACATTGCAATGTATGATTTTATATACC